TTGTAGTGTTATATATATATATGTCTTAGTCTGACTCATTGGTTGCAACCTTTGGTATAAATTTCTCGGTTCGGGGGTTCGATCACTGCGTAAGATCGAATTGCACATCTTCCTGGAAGAGAAGTCTGCCCCTCAGTCAGACTATGGAGTTGATCCGCGATCAACCTTTTTTAATATATATATATACATTCTAAGATTTGTAAATAAAAAAAATGTGTGCAGTGAATGTAAATTTACAAAAAACAAAAAAAAATAAAAAAATAAAAAAACAAAACAAAACAGAACGGGCGACTGTCAAGTCAACTCCCCTTATCGCAAACTTCATTTTGAATTCTTCAACTCACCTATACCAAATGAGAGTCCTCACGCTTCACCACAAGACCCCCACCCATGAGCTCAGCAGAGACGGCAGAGGGCACCCCACACTCCTCGCCTCCGCCGGCGACATCCCCTCGCCGGCCGAAGCTAACTCTCCTACCCCTCATTGCCCTCATATTCTTCGACGTCTCCGGCGGTCCCTTCGGCGTCGAAGACTCTGTCGGCTCCGGCGGCGGCCCTCTCCTTTCCCTCCTCGGCTTCCTCATCTTCCCCCTTCTCTGGTCTCTCCCCGAAGCCCTAATCACCGCCGAGCTCTCCGCCCTCTTCCCTTCCAATGGCGGCTACGTCGTCTGGATCTCCTCTGCCTTCAGTCCTTTTTGGGGCTTCCAACAGGGAATCTGGAAGTTCGTCTCCGGCGCCATGGACAACGCTCTATATCCCGTTCTCTTCCTCGATTACCTCAAACGCTCCCTTCCCTTCTTCTCTGATTCTTCCCCTGGTCGCCCCCTCGCCCTGTTCACCCTCACCGCCGCACTCACCTTCCTCAACTACCGCGGGCTACACATTGTTGGCTTCTCCGCAATCGCACTCACGTTTTTCTCACTTTCCCCTTTCATCGTCCTCTCCGTACTCGCGATCCCTCGGATCCGACCTTACCGATGGCTATCGGCCGACATACGCGGAGCCGATTGGCGGGGGTACTTCAACAGCATGTTCTGGAACTTGAATTATTGGGATAAAGCTAGCGCTCTTGCCGGAGAGGTGGAGGAACCGAGTCGGACGTTTCCGAGGGCGATATTTGGGGCTGTGGGGCTGGTGATGGCGTCGTACTTGATTCCGCTGCTTGCAGGCACTGGGGCGATTGATGGATCTAAGAGTGGGGAGTGGAGTGATGGGTACTTTGCGCAGGTGGGGTTGGAGATTGGAGGGGAATGGTTAAGATGGTGGATACAGGCGGCGGCGGCTATGTCGAATATGGGTTTGTTTGAGGCGGAGATGAGCAGTGACTCGTTCCAGTTGTTAGGGATGAGCGAGATGGGAATGATTCCTGAAATTTTCTCCAAAAGGTTCTGCTCTCTCTGGTTTTCCCCTCTTTTTTTTTAATTCAATCTGTTTATAATTCTGCTTTCCAGTAAACTGTTTTCTTGCTGTTTGTTTCGACTTCAGAGTTTAGTTAATGTGAATTTTTTGGCTTGATACTTCTGTTGTTTAGTGGCTTCTGAACAGAATTCTGTTTGAAGATGTTTAAAGAATAGAAACCAATTGTTTGAGAATTGTTGAATCCAAATTTGTCCTGTGAATCACACTCAAGAATGAGGTGCTACACGAGAGCATAGCATGGTGTAGCAACTATGGATCGAAAACCTAGAACTGCAAAACAAGGAAGCAAAGAAGAAGAAGATGAAACAGAAGTTTTCTGTAATTCCCAAATGCAGAAAATATCAATGTGCGTTACCACCTCTACCTCCACTCCCCGGTAGCGAAGGAGCAACAATAAGGTACGTAGCTAACTAACTGGAGGGGACCACTCCCCTCATAACAGGTAATTAAGAAATAAAAGTTGCATAAGTGGTCTATTAGCAATTAACTAAGACAGAAAATAAAGATAAGTAGCTAAGTGTATCTGGAAGGTTCACATCCAGTGCTGGAATAGCTGCATCAGTTCCCTTCCATCTCCGAGGAACTCTACTCGAGTTCAGAAATTCGTGTATCCCTTCATCGAGTGGATGATAAGCATAGAGATCAGACACATTAAATGTAGATGAAATGTTGAGATATGGGGGAAGTTTAAGAACATAAGCATAGTCGTTGATGCATTTGCTAATAGGAAAATGTCCAACTTGCGGGGGTTTAATTTTGAATATACTCCTTGTGGGAAACGATCTTTGTGAAGTAGCACCATAACTAGATCACCTTCTTGAAATATTTTTTGTCTTCGTGATTTGTTAGTTTGTTGTTTGTAGTGTTATGATGAAATTGTGAGCTTATCTTTGACTTCTCGCAGCATAGATTCAAAATTGTTCACCAATGTTTTGGCATTGTTGCTTTTAGGTTTTAGAATGATGGCAGCATCCACTAAGTGATTCGGTTCTTTCGTATAAACATTGCTAAAAGGAGAGAAAAACCCGTGGAACGATTAACCAAAGAATTAAAAACAAATTCTGCTTGCCTCAAATACTCTTCCCAATGTTTTGGTTGGCTACCTACAAGACAACGAATCATCTTTCCTAAAGATTGATTGACAACTTCAATTTGTCCATTCGTTTGTGGGTGCTACGTTGAACTTAGTTGGAGATCGGACTTGAGTCTTTTCCACAGTTCCCTCCAAAAATAACTTATGAATTTGACATCGTGATCTGAAGTAATGCTCATTGGAATGCCATGTAGGCGTACAATCTTCTTAAAGAAAAGTTTTTGCAAAATTGGAAGCTTTATAACTCTTCTTACAAGCCGCAAAATGAGCCATTTTGAAAAATCCACCAACAACCACCATGACGGAATAAAATCCTCCTTTGGTGTGAGGTAGGCCCAAAATAAAGTCGATGCAAAGATCCTCCCAAATGGAATATGGAATAGGTAATGGTAGGCAAAGACCGTTTTCTGGATCATGCCTTTATAAAGTTGACACCTCGAACATTTTGCCACAAACCAGCATAAGTCCCTTCGTAATTGGGACCAAAAGAATTTAGATTTGACAACTTGGAGAGTTCGATCCCTACCAGCATGGGCTGCCAACCCTCCTCCATGGCAATCTATAATAATTTGTTGATGAAGTGAAGTGTTAGGAATACACAATTAGTTACCCTTGAAAAGGTAACCTTGTTGAATGGAGTAATCACTTTAAGGAGAGTGCTTTTTACAGCTCATCGAAACAAATGAGAAATCTTCATCGTCATGGTATAAATCTTGCAAAATTTCCATAATTGTGATACTAGTTTGGATCGTTACCAATAAGCTTGCTCGACGACTCAAAGTGTCGACTACAAGGTTGGTGTAACTGGCACGGTGTTTTACAACAAAAGTGAATTTCTGCAGGAACATAACCCATCGTATATGCATTCAATTGAGATTTTTGTACGATTGTAAGAATTGTAAGGGTTGATGGTCACTTAATATAAGGAATTCCTGATGTAACAAGTAGTGTTCCCAAGCCTTTAATGCTCGAATAACTGCATATAGTTACTACTCATATGTAGACCACTTTCGGTGTGTCATACTCAGCTTTTCACTAAAGAACTCCACAAGCTTTTCTTCTTGTGATAGAATTGCACCAGTTTTTACCGCCAAAGTATTAGTTTCAAATTGGAAAGGCTTTGCAAAATTTGTTCTACCAAATATAGGAGCTGAATTTAAATACTTTTTTAAATTATGAAAGATCTGTTGTTATTCTAGACCCCAAGGAAATTTTTTCTATTTAAAGAAATCAGTTAACGGTGTAGCAATAGTACTAAAATTCCTTATAAAACATCCGTAAAAATTGGCAAGTCCATGGAAATTATGGGCTTCCGTAATTGACTAGGGAGTTGGCCACGATTGAATAGTCTCTATCTTGTTAGGATTCATCTTGACGCCTGCATGCCTTATGATGAAGCCTAGGAAATGAACTTTCGTGAAGGCAAATTCACACTTCTCTAAATTCATAAATAATTTATGATTTCGGAGAGTGTTGAACAAAGACTTGAAATGTCCCAAGTGTTCTTCAAGTGACTTAATGTACATAAGAATATGTTCAAAATAGATAACACAACATTGAACAATAAAAGCTTTCAAAACTTCATGCATGAGCCTCATGAAAGTACTTGGAGCGTTGCACAAACCAAAAGGCATCACTTGCCATTCGTATAAACCTTCCCTTGTTTTGAATGTCATTTTCCATTCGTCGCCCGGGTGGATACAGATTTGATGGTATTCACTTCTCAAATCCAACTTGGAGAAAATAGTAGCTTCTGCAAGTTTATCTAATAAATCTTCCATACGAGGCATTGGAAAACGAAATTTTACCGTGATCTTGTTGATGGCGCGACTGTCGATACACATCCTCCAAGAACCGTCTTTCTTGGGCACGATCAATACTGGCACCACACAAGGACTCAAGCTATGGCAGCTGAAGTTCTTAATGTTCCTTGGGAATCGTGCGGTAGTGAGCAAGAATCGGTAGAGTAGATCTAGGAATTAGATCATTATGATGTTGAATGGATCTCATTGGAGGGACTTAATTAGGCAAATCAACGGGTGTAATGTTTAGAAACAGCTTGATGAGTGCTTCGACTGGAGGCTGCACCTATTTCGCGGTTTTATTTTGTTCAACCAATAAATCTACATATGCCACCTCTCGCTTGTCACAAGTTGTTGACCATTGTGAACCTGAGACAACTAAATAAGCAGATGTTTCAGACTTGGCAGCGTTGTTTTAGGCAGGGGACGGCTGAAGGTAGAAACCTAATCTTCTTGTTATTACCCTTTCTTCCTTGGAATGGTGATATAGGATAGATGTATATGATAGTTTTTTTATGTCATTTAAATGGATGTGGATTAATTCTTTGCACTTCATTTATTTTTTATTTTGGCCAAGTGGGTGTCGGCCGTTTTTTTATGTTCAACTTGACTTTCGTAGTTTGAAAAAGTGATGATTTTGTGATTTTTGAAAAATAATTTAAATATAAACATAACTTTTTTTTAAAGAAGTAACATTTTAATTTAAAATAGGTGAGACCAAACGGGTCTCATATTTTAAGTAGTTTAGACGAGTGAATACGATACTACAGGTAATACACTTATCCCAAAGACATAAATGTATCACTTGTAATAGGGATTCAATCACCCAGACTAAAGAATTTGTGACATCCGTTTGGTCTGTGAAATATTTTTATAAAAAGGCCAACAAGTTCCCCTATCTAACATAAAAAAAATTAGATAGGGTTTATTTTATCTAGGTTCCTGGTTCCCTATAGAGGCAAGCCCCTATAGTTAATTACATCTTAAATGATCGAAATCACTTAAGAAAACTCTCGATTAAGATCAGGTGGTTTTGTTTTCAAGATTTCAAAGTTTAGGTTTTCACGATTGGACATGGGAAAATCAAATGGGAATGGCTCAAAATATGAACAATTATTTAAGGAATTCAAATGAAAGAAAAGTAGGGGACATCACAGATCCAGGAGAAACCCCAGAGATGTCCCAACTATCCTGATGTTCGGCTTTATGTCTTTGAAGAGATAATTATTTGATGTTTCAATCCTGCAAATTATTTAAGATTTAGGACTTAT